TGTGTTGATGTATCTCATTGTTTATTGTGTCTTATTGTTTTTGTTGTGTCCTTTTGTTTATTGTTTTGTTCTGTCTCTGTGTTGATGTATCTCATTGTTTATTGTGTCTTATTGTTTTTGTTGTGTCCTTTTGTTTATTGTTTTGTTCTGTCTCATTGTGTTGATGTATCTCATTGTTCTGTTCTGTCTCATTGTTTTGTATGTTATTGTAGGACACTGCCACCGGGTATAAACCCATTTGCAGTCAATAATAAATAATAATAATAATAATAAATTTATGCCATCTCCATCCGTGATTTTCCTTTTTTTATATTTTGCAGGAAATCCTTGGGACTGCACTTGTGGCGTGCTCTACAGTGCTTATAAAGTACTACGCGCGGACAAAGAGAGAAATATCACTCTAGTCTGCGCACGCCCTGAAGAAGGCAGAGGAGAACCGTGGAATGTCCTAGAAGAAATATGCGAACGAACAACAACGGAGGACATCGCACGAACCTCAAATTTTTCTGCGACATACGAAGTAACGGGAACCGAAATTTTAACCACGGCCGCCATTTTGGTAATTAAGGGCGGGTTTAATCATAATTCTTCCTCAAAAGTATCGTCCATTAGGCCTTCTGCAATATTCGTCATATGCTTTCCCTGAAGAAGGCAGAGGAGAACCGTGGAATGTCCTAGAAGAAATATGCGAACGAACAACAACGGAGGACATCGCACGAACCTCAATTTTTTCTGCGACATACGAAGTAACGGGAACAGAAATTTTAACCACGGCCGCCATTTTGGTAATTAAGGGCGGGTTTAATCATAATTCTTCCTCAAAAGTATCGTCCATTAGGCCTTCTGCAATATTCGTCATATGCTTTGCCGTAGCAGTGTTTGTTGTCATAATAGCCGCGCTCATAATCACAAGAAAAATTAAGAAACAAAACCTGAATCACTTGTGGTGGGAGGACCAAGAAATGGCCACCACGGCCTACACGTTCAGAATTAAGCGCAAGTTTAATAAGACTTCTTGCTCAAAAGTATCGTCCATTGCGCCTTCTGGAATATTCGTCATATTCTTTGCCGTAGCAGTGTGTTGGCATAATGGCGGAGTTCGCAATGACAAGAAAAATTAAGAAACAAGACCTGAATCACTTGTGGTGGGAGGACCAGGTCAAGAGGAGACAGCTCTTGTCGGAATGATCCTGAGTGGTCACAAAACCAAGTGGTAACTATAAGTGCCAATTCCATTAACACTCGATGATCCTGTGTTTTGCTGACACCCTGTTGTGTGTTTCGTATGATTTTTGTTATAAACAGCGATTATTTTCTTAAACAGCGTTAACCAGTTGATCTTTGTAACGGTGAAGGGGTGTGTTTTCTTTGCGGTACGGACTCGATTCTTAAATTTTATATTGGTGCTTCGAAGGGCTAATGCCAAAGACCATTGCGTTCATAAACTCTATGTGAATTTCAAAGAAATCAGATGGAATGGTCGTTGTCTATTTCAATATATTATATTTGAATGGAATGACTGAGGAAGACTACGAAATACTTCAGTAATGACGGCTCGTGAATAACGTACCACTGTGGTAGCCTGCGAACGTCAGCAGCGAGGAAATACTGTCAAGTAAGGATCTGGAAGGACATTACGGCACACGACAGGGAGACATTTTTTGAAGTAAAAACTTTCCAGACGGGTTTATTTTCTAGGGGTGAGTCCGTGCGAAGAACGGTACAGCGATTTTCTAAAATCTGCGTAGACTGCTCATTCATGAGTCAGTGAATTTGAATTTCTGTACACACGGAAAAAACTGGTTTCACCACGACGAGATCAGAGATTTCTAACGGCGTCTAATGGCGACCTCACGTATTTCCACCGCGGTGCGTCTCCGTGTGACATTTTCTTATATCTTAAATATATAATTGATTTACTACGAATTAGTAGTGTTTTGACAGCAGGCCAAGACTCGAGCGCTCTCTCCACAC